GACAACAGCACTAAACTGGCGTCGCACAATCACCTTACACGTAAAAACAATTACCATTTCATTTCTAATCACATCATTACATATCACGGAGGGGAGAACTCGAGTCAGGAGACAGGACGTTTGCATATCATATGGAATTGAAGGGTAACTTGGCAAGGCGAAGGGGGTTTTGACTGGCAGCTTCATTTCCTTTGCTGTTAACACTTTGTTCTTTTTGCAACAGCTCCCCTCAATCAAATCAGGTAGCCATAAACAACACGTCGTCCCACTGTTCAAAATCTTCTAATTTGTCATTTTTCTAGTGATTTTTTCGTTATTGCTAGCTGTTTAAGCTTAATGTGACTCCACTTTTCGCTCTCGTTTTACCCCACCAAAATCAAGCTAAGGGTAAGTTACCCTAAAACTCTTTTTTCCAATTCCCCGGATATTTGTCACTTGCAAAATAAAAAGAAGTCGGGTTGAATTTATGCAAAAAAAAAAGAATCTTTCATTCCCAAAAATTCTTGGGTAATTTTTCTGAAAAAGTTTTATTTTCACAAAAAAGCACTTACTTTGCCGATGTTAGTATTATCGAGGGCCGCATCAACTTCGTCCAGAATGAAGAACGGTGATGGACTACGTGCATGTAGTGCAAAGAGTAGTGCCAGCGCAGCTACTGTTTTTTCACCACCGCTTAAATTATCCATAGGTTGGAAGCGTTTTCCGGGTGCAACACAATTGTACGCAATTCCATCCAAATATGGCTCTTCCATGTTTATTTCACCAAGAAATGCTTGTGCACTTTCGTTACGGCTTAATTTCTGCAAAAAAAAAAGCAGTGCAAAATTCGTCGAAATTCATGAAGGAAGATGACAAAGAATTTACGAATGCATACTGTTTTGAGTGATAAAGCTTCAGAGATGCATTTGTGCTATCACATAATATGTTAAATAATGATTTATGGTCTTTTTTGTTAGAAACAGCGTGAGGAACAACTGCGTCACTATGACTGAAATACCCCGGTCC